ACCAGATAACGTTTTCACTTATAAAGTTAAGCTAATTTCTGAGCACTTTGATTATTCTTGTGACTCTTCTCTTAAATTCTCCAAATTACATAATATTTTAAAATATAGAAGTCATAATCACATACAGAGCTATCAGTGCAGTATATTATTATTACATTGAATAGTATATAAATGTTGTTTATCTCTATGTGCCTGTTAATGGCTGATTTGTCAGATTGTCAGGCTTCCAGGACACTCTGGACTTAGCTTGATCTAGGATGCTCACAATTTCCCAGTTGAAACTAAGCTTAAATCCATCTCTGTATTGTGAAATTAAGCAGTTTTCAGCATGTTTTTTTGACTGTTAGTTTGAATTCATGGAAAGTATAAAGTATAAAAAGAGGAAAGAGGGGCACATAACTAAGGCAGAATATCAGCAAATAGCCCGTATCTACAAAAATGAAGTGAGGAAAGCTAAAGCTCAAAATGAACTAAGGGTTGCGACCAAAGTCAAAAATAACAAAAAAATATTCTTTCAACATGTAAAAAACAAGAAAAAAAGCTAAGGAAATGATTGGTCCATTAGTGGGGGAAAGTGGCAAGAAGGTGACAAGCGAACACCTAGAGGCAAACAAAGTCATTACTAAAAGCCAACATGGGTTTGTCAAAAACAGATCATGCCAGACAAATCTTATTGCATTCTTTGACCAAGTGACAAAATTAGTGGACCAGAGGAATGCTGTAGATATAATTTATTTGGACTTCAGTAAGGCATTTGATAAAGTAGATCACAATCTACTACTTGATAAGATAGAAAAATGTGGGTTAAACAGCATGACCACCAGATGGATTCGTAGCTGGCTGATCGGCCGTACTCAGCATGTGGTCCTCAATGGAACTGCATCTACATGGAGGGAAGTGTGTAGTGGGGTTCTTGCAGGGCTCTGTTCTGAGCTCAGTGCTCTTCAGCATCTTCATCAACAATTTGGATGAGGGGATAGATGGGGAACTCATTAAATTTGCAGACGACACCATGCTGGCAGGAATAGCCAACACTCCAGAACATAGGCTTAAGATACAGGAGGATCTGGAAAATTACAATACACATTTTCAGGGCTTTTTTTGTCATAGAACACCCAGAACGGAGTAGAATGGAACCTTGTAGGCTAGGCAAGGGTTATATGACGTGCATGAGTTCCGACATCTTTTTTTTTTTTCAAAAAAAGCACTGTACATTTTATTCAAACAGTCAAAAATCCTGGTCCAGAATTGACATGATCTGGATGGCATCTGAACTGAGGACAAATATACAGGAAATTGAAATAGAACCAGGTACAACCAGGCAGATCACAACCCTTTAAAAGTGACATGGAGAGGAATACAAAAAAAAAAAAAAAATCAAAATGGACTTTGAACCAATCTATATTAAAAGAAAGAGAATTTGTAGAACTAGCAAAAAAAAATGGAGTTTTTCTTCAAAGAAAACAAAAAAGAAGATACAACATTACAAAATGTATGGGATACAGCAAAAACATACTTTAGAGATATAGCTATAACATACATGGCAAACAAACAAAAAAACAGAAAAGACAGCAATATATACTATTAAAAGAAAAAAAATTGAAAAACTAGAATCAGAACTGCAAATGAACATGCAAAAGAAGACTCTGAAAAGAGAAATGGAAACAATAAAACACAAATTAAATCTGTTGGATTCAGAAAAATTGGCACAGCAAATAAAAAGAAGAAAACAAAACGTTTTTGAAAATGCAAATAAACCAAGAAAATGGTTAGCTTATAAACTTAAAAAACAGAAGAAGAAAATGATAAACAATTTAATAGATGAAAAAGGTTGCCTACAATTTAAAAATGAAGAAATAAAAAAGATAGTTAAAGAATATTACAAGAAACTGTATGACACAAAAGAAATTCCAAGAGAGAGAATGATCCAATATCTGGAAGAAAGTAACCTTCCAAAAATTTCAGAAACCTGTAAGATTATGTTAGAGGAAAGAATAACAATGATGGAAATAACAGAGGCCATAAGAAGACAAAAAAATGAGAAAACATTGGGGCCAGATGGACTACCAGTGGAGTTATATAAAGCTTTACAAGATATACTAAGTGAACCGCTGAAAGACGTTTGCAATGAACTTTTGTTGGAGGCTAAACTCCCAAATGCATGGATAGAAGCAAATATTACCTTAATACCAAAAGAAGACTCAGATTTGACACAGATAAAAAATTATAGACCGATATCATTATTAAATGTGGATTATAAAAAATTTACTTCAATAATGGCAGAGAGACTGACAAGATTCCTAACTAAATTTATACATTCAGACCAAAATGGTTTTTTGCCAAAGAGACAAATTAAAAATAATTTAAGAGTGATAATGGATGTATTGGAATATTATGAATTACATCCAGGGAAACAACAAGCACTAATATTCCTAGATGCTCAAAAGGCATTTGATAATGTTTCCTGGCAATTTATGATTCACCAATTAAAAATAATGGACTTTGGACAGAACTTTATAAACACAATAAAAACAATATACAATAAACAAACAATGAAAGTGATTGTGAATGGAGACTATACTGAGAACTTTGAGATGTTGAGACTCTAGAAAGGGGAAATCTTTGGGATTATTTAGAAATTCACCCATATATTAAATACCTTATTACATTATAACACTGTTTCATCAACACTGTTTCAGTTAGAACAATTAATCAGTGGAACAGCCTGCCTCCAGAAGCAGTGAATGCTCCAACAATAGAAGTTTTTAAAAAGAGACTGGACAGCCATTTGTGTGAAATGGCATAGGGTTTCCTGCCTGAGCAGGGGGTTGGACTAGATGACCTCCAAGGTCCCTTCCAATTTTTACGACTACTACTACTACTACTACTACTACTATTATTATCATTATCATCATTATCATTATTATTGGTCTTAGCCATTGCCAGGTCTTGTTATTATCTGCTTTCCCAGCTATTTTTAATGTATTGGCCATGTAGTGCTTTGTCTTCCCATGCCTCTATTCTGTTCTTCATTTGGTCTTTCATGTAGGCCAGTTTGATCTCTCCAGTAGTCAGTAAGCCTTCCTGATATATTAATTTCAGTGCATCTTGATCATTATCCTTCAGATATTCTTCCAAAGCCATTTTTTCTTCTTCAACCATCTGATGTACTTGCAGCATTCCATGTCCACCTATTTGCCTTGATAGATAGAGTCTGTCAATGTCACTAGGTGGATGAAGGGCATGATTCATTGTCATTATTTTTCTGGTCTTCCTATCCATTGCTTTTAGTTCTGCTTGAGTCCAGTCCACTATTCCAGCTGTGTATCTAATTATTGGAATTGCCCAGGTGTTGATTGCCTTTATGGTATTTCCTCCATTGAGTTTGGACTTTAAGATCTTCTTCATTCTCTTAATGTATTCTCCTCTAATCTTTTTCTTGACTTCAGTGTGCTTGATGTTGTCAGCTTGAAGGATACCCAAGTATTTGTAGTAATCTTCCTCATCCAGATTCTAAATGTTGTTATTGTTGTTATTATTATTATTAATAATAATAATGTTCTGCTAGGCTTCTGCCTATCTATGTTTAATAGTGGTTGTTACAGTTCTTACACTGTATATTGTAAATGACTTCTGTTTTTTCTCCTGGGGCTATTGTGTCTTTTGGTTTACTATCATGTTTTGTAGAGCTTTAAATGGTTTGTGTGCTTCGATGTCATGTGGTTTTAATAAACTGTTGTTTGTTTCTGATATATTTTTTATGTATGGCAGTGTTAGAGACAATAAATAAACTAAAAAGGAAACAAAAAGAGACATACCTCCTCACCAGCAATCAACAACAAGATAAGGAGAGATTAACATCAGGATTAATACCAGTCTAACAATCAAGCAGTAAACAATGAAGGAACTATCAACTCAGACAAACAATCAAACAGTAAATAATAGCCTAATCAAGGAACTATCAAAAAGAAAACAACTCTCTCACTACCATAAGGCAAGCCACTGTATATAAAGAGAGAGCAAACCCCATTCCTTTCTAGCACTGTATGTTATCTAGTTGTTATCTAGTTGAGTAATGAAATGTCTGCAAGAAAACAGCCAAGCTCAGAGAGTACCAAGGACTTCACAATAAGTGTGTGCCAACACAGTCTCACATAAATATTTCTTAACGGTAGATGTATTTTAGCATCCAACTTCTTCTGTACATAAGATATCTTACTATGTATGTAAAATATGTGCTTCTTGTAACCTTTAGTAAGATAGTAAATTTAACATGCAATCACAGTAGAACCCAAATGTTTATATTTTAATATATTAAAAGGGATAATCAGAATAATATATTTGAAGTATGCGTTTTTAACATGGTGATGAGCTTCATGCATGCAAAATGTTATCTCCTACTGCATTATGCGTACATCAAAAAATTACTATAACTTGCTTCTGCATCAAATGGTCTTATAAACCACTCTTAAGATGGAGCGCTTACTTTGCTAAGGTATTAGAAGAGAAATTCCAGACATACTTATTATAATAATAATAGAATATTTATCACTTTCTAAAATCACTTTTGAGACTTGAGATTCATTTTGCAAATATTTTCTCATAAGTACTTTCCAGTGAAGAATCTCATTTTTGTTGCCTGATGATCTTAACAGGATATTGGACCAAAATCTGTGTTTAGGATACCATTAAGCAATGGAACTTAAGAGGCACTTATCCCATGCTCTGGCTTTCTTGAATAGTCCAGATTCCCTCCTTTGGATCCTTGGTGACATTATTTATAGGGCATTTACTCATATAGTATGAGAGACATCAAATATTTCTAATTATATCCAGCCATGTCAAATGACAATTATGTCTTTAGTCAAGTTTGCCAAACAATGCTTTACTGGAAAAGGTTAGCCAAAAATGCCTCCAGTGAAGAATGGTGGTGGGGAGGGCATGGGATGGCTCTTATGTTCATCCAACAGTATAAAAGCGTTTCAAGGGACAAACCTGCCTTGTCCTTCTTAAGATAGTAGTAGGTAAGTGCTGGGCAGCCGTGGTAAGGTCTGAATGGGTGAAGCACCCATACATTCCATTCATGCTGGTTCATTCTTATGCCTTGCTGTTAAAGTGAGAGGATTTACTTGGATCAGGGGGATCTCAAATCCATTCATTCAGTTCTAATCGGTGGTTTGAAGCTGAAAGGCTTAAAAAACAAAACACAAACCGTCAGTAAGAAGAGATTGATCTTTTGTTTTGCAGCATTGGCCAGTGCTGAGCCTGAATTCTACCAATCCTCTTCATCGGGAGGTAAGATGGTGTTTACACTCACTCTTGAGGAACTGGGGATTCAATGTTTTATGGGTGCTGAGCTGAGCAGACAGTTTTGAGTCTTCTTCATTAATGCCATGAAAGATGCCTTTTGTACAGATTTTGCTCAGATAGTAAGGTCTGATCGTTTATTACTGTTTGGTCTTGACATCCGTTAGGGAAGCTTTATGGGCATTTCCTGCTCCACTAAGCAGATGGCAGGAGTCTGAAAACTGGCTTATTCTCACAAAAAGATGAAGAATGGTAATTAAAAAAACATACCAATAATGGAATCTCTTTGAATGTACATTTTGGCCAGTTGTCTCATGGATTTATAATGACCTTTTCTTTTGACTGAGTCTTAAAAATATAGCTGAAGTAATGTTCATTTTTGGTTTTGTTGTGTTTTGTTTCTTTACTTCAAAATAGACTAAAATTTCCCAGCTGAATTTGTAGGCCTAGCTTTAAAGCTGCTTTATTTCACAGAAATGGAGAGCTTGATCCTAATCGTAGGCCTATGTTTTGCCAAGAGCCAGGGTGGTGATCAAGTATCCAACTGGTTCTTTTGGATCCACAGATGAGCACACCAGTAAATAAAGAGATTTTCAGCTTTATTATTTAACTGTAGTAAACAGATTTAAAAGCATGACATAAAAAGCAAACATATCAAGCAAGATGATATCCAAATCTCTTATAAGTCTCAGGAGCTCCTTAATGACAACAACAGAGATACTACCCCCCCCCCCGGGCATCTAGTTTCTAAGGTGCCCAATGCCAGGTTTTGTGCAGAAATGTCCAACATGATTTAATAACCCTTCTATGGACATAAGATTGTAAGACCTGGTCTTGACTAGGCACTATTGGAATGAATTGTCTGAAATTGAAACGAAAAGTCTAACATTTCACAGGTTTGCAATTATGTAAAGATTCCCATCCCTACTCCTTTATTCAGCAAGCAAGAGCAAAAGCCATGCAGGAGAGCTAAGAATGAGCTCTAAATTTCTAGACATATTTCTTAATATGAAGGAGAAAAACAATAGGCCACTAAAACTCAAAATAGCAATGGTCTTCTGCACTGCCAATATAGCCTAAACATACAATTCTTCCTGTATTCTACAGGCTACATTGGTCTGTAGAATACATTTTTAGCATATTAAGCCCACAACCATCAAGTTTTAGGTTTCCATGGCTTATGGTTTAGCATAATGTGGGAACTTGGCTGTTTTTAGAAACTGGCTTTTGACAAAAAACCTCTCAAAGTTATCAATCACAAGGAAACTGTTTTCTCTTCATATCTTTAGCTAACGGAAAAAGGAGGATTTTTTTTAATCCAAAAAAACAATGAATGGATTAGATGCTGGATGCTTTCGATTTGAACAAAATACATACTGTAATGCAGTTTCCCTTAAAATTTAAAGGATGAGGTATAGTGATTACAAAAGTGTCAGCTGGGAAGAACCTGATCATTAAAGATCTGTCTTCATTGGCACTTAAGCCCAGCACAATCATGCCTAGACAACAAAAAATTCTCCCCTTGTCTCCATGACGCTTATGTTGAGTGAGACAGCTTTAAGTTGTCACTAAGAGTTCCATATAAAAGTAGTATTTGAATCCTTATTCCAGCACTGTCAAATTACTGCCTTAGGAATGAAGTCAGAGGAATCGGTTGTGGGGTATGTGCCATTAGAAATGTGTTTGGGGAGAGCTGGAAAGTGCAAGGAGAGTTTTCTTGAGTCATTAGTCAACCTCTGGAGCATCCATTACTTTCTCTGCCTTTGCCCTTTTCATTAGCATTTGCTTTCATGAAGTCTGTTCAGATCTGTTACTTTTCCCTACCAGCAGACAGTTTCATCAACTTCTCCCCAGGCTTCCATGATGATAGAGAAAAGTGCTGACCATCACTATTTAATAAGGGGAAGAAGTATTGGTGCAAATTGTCTTTACAAGTATTGTATGCTGAAACATATAACCAGTTTGTCATTACACTCAGTGGTTGTGTTCATCCAATATACTGAACCACGAACTAAACAACCCCATTTTAATCAGTTTGGTAAATCCAGGCTGTTTAGTTACTAGAAGGTTGAACATGTTGTGGAAATTTGGAATTAGATTAATTTAATAAACTATGGTTAAATGTGCCAGTCATACATGAACATTTTTCCATGAAATTGAATAAAACAAATAAACTTTTTTTCATAATGTGCCCTGATTCCCTAATTCTTGCAATAATTCCTTACTCACTTGTTAGTAGATATGCATTTCTTTTCATGGAAGTAAAGGACTTTTCTTCAAAATAGATTGAGATAACCTGAGATAGCAAAGTAGGAGATTGCATGAAACTGCACATTAAAGTTGTGATCTCCATATGAGTTGTTTCTTTTCTCACCAGTGCTCTCTGTTAAGCTGCAGCCATGTCATCTGACAGTGAGATGGCAGCTTTTGGGGTTGCCGCCTCCTTTCTTCGCAAGTCAGAGAAAGAGAGAATTGAAGCTCAAAACAAGCCCTTTGATGCCAAGACATCCGTCTTCGTAGTGGATCCTAAGGTTTCCTTTGTAAAAGGTGTTATCCAGAGCAAGGAAGCGGGGAAAGTCACAGTTAAGAAAGAAGGTGGAGAGGTAAGTAGAAAAATACCTCACAAGGGAAAAGTAAGGCTTTGTTATCCCCATCCGCTGCATGCTTTCGATTTGAACAAAAATATCTTTTGTTTCCTTGTAGTCCGTGACTGTTAAAGATGACCAAGTCTTTCCTATGAACCCACCCAAATTTGACAAAATTGAGGACATGGCCATGATGACCCACCTCAATGAACCTGCTGTCCTGTATAATCTCAAAGAGCGTTATGCAGCCTGGATGATTTATGTAAGAAGAATCTGAACATTACCATTGAATTCAGAATCAAATATTTTATTTCCACATGCAAACAACTACTAATGTGTTTTTTCTTTCCAGACCTATTCAGGTCTCTTCTGTGTCACTGTCAATCCCTACAAGTGGTTGCCAGTGTACAACCCAGAGGTGGTTAATGCATACAGGGGGAAAAAGCGTCAAGAGGCCCCTCCCCACATCTTCTCCATTTCTGACAATGCGTATCAGTCCATGTTAACTGGTGAGCAGATATGTAGATGAGTATTTCTGAAAAAAAAAAAGGTCGGGAAAAAAGGAAGAACATGGTTTCTGGAATTTCCAGACTGAGTTTTTAACCTTTCCAGAAAGTATAACAATGGCCAATGTGGTTATTCAGCTTCAATGGAACCAAAATCCCCATAATTCCAGTTAGCCTTATGACAATATTTAGGACATTCTTCATTATTGTTACCAGATCTGCAGATTAGGTAATGGGGCATGCATTCCTCATGTTGACTTATGAATGATAGATCTGTAAATAAATAAATAAATATATGAAATTAGTATGTTTATAATTCAGTATTGTACTGTATATACAGTATTAGGGTGTATACAGTATTGTATTGTATGTACAGTATTCTTTGAAAGAAAGCAGTGTAAGTTACATAGGAACTGTATGAAAGACTATGAACTAAAAAGTTATGGCATGTGTGCTAGAAGCTTCACATGACTGTCAACAAACTAGCTAATTTTGTGCTGAAGATTGATAACAGAAATGAACAAGTCAAAATTCTAACTATTCATATCACAAAATTAACACAAACATTAATTTCTGCTTGGATTATTTGTTTCTTTGCTTTCCAGATCGTGAGAATCAGTCAATCCTGATCACGTGAGTACACTTCCAATAATGATGTTTCTAGTCAGAAGAAGTTTCACAGAGTAATATATTGGCTAACAGCATGGTCTTTTACTCTGTTTGAATAGTGGAGAATCTGGTGCTGGAAAGACTGTGAACACGAAACGTGTCATTCAGTACTTCGCGACAATTGCTGCAGCTTCTGACAAGAAGAAGGAGGAACCACAGCAAACTGGCAAGTTAAAGGTGAAATATGACTTTGGGAGAAGATTATACATTCCTTTCTGATAATTTCATTATGTTTAAAAGATGACTTAGTAAATGCTATTTTTACAGGGCACCCTTGAAGATCAAATCATCAGTGCCAATCCCTTGTTGGAAGCTTTTGGAAATGCCAAGACTGTGAGGAATGACAATTCATCTCGCTTTGTAAGTTACAGTTTTAAACATATGTGAGAGTGTAATTCTTTTTGTTCCAATGTTCTTGGCATCCCACTAAAGATGACAATGAATTAGACAAGTTGTGTTTGTGTTGTGGAGTTTTTTAGACGAGATACAATGTTATTGCACTTTTTTTCAGACTAAGAATGCCTCACATCAAACCTATGCAGCAGCATCAAAATACCATAAGCAGTGTTGTGTTATTGAACTGCAAGCTTCACCCCTTTGGGATATGTCTATGTCATCACAATGCATTTACAAAAGGGGAAGGCCTTCTGTCATGACAATGGAATGCTACTTCAGTCATTCTGTCCTTCCTTGCCTGCCCCATCCCCATAGAGCTGATGAAGAGGTCTATCTGTAAGCCAAATCCCATTTGGAACATTGAAATCCAAAAATAGTTTAAGGAAGTTGAGTCCTCCTTTCCAGTTTAACATAGCGCACTGTGACACGGGTCTTTGAAAAGCAAAGAAGGGTGCTGATTTCTGCTTGAGCCACCTCATTTTTCCTTGATTGCAATTGCCATTTGCAATGTTTCACATTCACATTCATCTCATCTCATTAAATAAAGAATAAGTCCTTCAAGAATGATCAACCATTATTATCATACCAACCTACTTTGTCTTTCTCCCATATAATAAACCTCAACTGTAGTCCGAAAGGTGTTATTCAAAAGGTAACTGAACTTTCTTTCCTTCCTTCCTTCCTTCCTTCCTTCCTTCCTTCCTTCCTTCCTTCTTTCTTTCTTTCTTTCTTTCTTTCTTTCTTTCTTTCTTTCTTTCTTTCTTTCTTTCTTTCTTTCTTTCGAACAACACCTTTGGGACAACCATGACCTAGATGACTCTATAGACAAACTTCAACTGTTTTTCTCCTTTAATTTACTCGCATTTTACAGTTTTAATATAAAGTTTAATAATTATCGTATCATGAATATTATTAAAATAAAGTTTCACATATGGCACATTAAAGGTTTTGTATTTTATAATGGTAAACTATTTCATTTTTTTAAAATTAGGTTTAAAATATTACTATTTTTTTTTAATTCCATACATTCCATAGCCACAAACTGAAACTCCTGCTATTAAAAGGAAAAAATCTTTGCACCACCCTATTGTGCAGTTAAATATATATATTGAAAATGACTTGTAATTCAATACTATTTTCTTCACAGGGCAAATTCATCAGAATCCATTTTGGTGCCACTGGCAAACTGGCTTCTGCAGACATTGAGACATGTAAGGGATTTTTCTTTGTGTGTTTATTTGACCGTTTCCTTTCTTCCTTAACTAATTCAACTTCATTGCTTCGTCAGATCTGCTGGAGAAGTCCAGAGTTACCTTCCAGCTCAAGGCTGAAAGAAGCTACCATATCTTTTATCAGATCATGTCCAACAAGAAGCCAGAACTGATCGGTAAAGAGAATCATCCATTTGGAGGACTATTTCAACTATTAAACATTGCAAGTGTGCCCAAGGTTGAAAATGAAATCATGTTTGTACTTCTTTTTATGCAGAGATGCTTTTGATTACTACCAACCCATATGACTATCATTTTGTCAGCCAGGGTGAAATCACTGTTGCCAGCATTAATGATCAGGAAGAGCTGATGGCAACTGATGTAAGTAATTTGCAGAATCGGGAACATAAAATAGTAATTTGATTAGACAAACAATAATATTTGGTTTAAATGTTTGAGAACATGTGGGACTTAGGCATATAATGAGTGGTGTAATGTTCCAAGGGGAACATTAGCAGAGACAACTAAAAGCTACTGTAATTGCCAAAATTATTTCAAGTGAGTTTGAACCCTCGACTTGGCTCAGTGCTGGGTTCAATCCTTTCTATTGATTGAATTAATAGGAAGCCATAGACATCCTGGGCTTCACAGCTGAGGAAAAGACAGCCATTTACAAGCTGACAGGAGCCGTCATGCACTACGGGAACATGAAGTTCAAGCAGAAGCAGAGAGAGGAACAGGCCGAGCCAGACGGCACGGAAGGTATTTGAAAAAATTATGGCAAAATCATTTTAATAATTCAGAACAAATGAGGACATTCTTTTGCAGAAATACATCCCACGCTTCCCTAGGGTTTTCTAGGACAGTCATACTGATCATTTGGAGTAGATAGCAGACCATAAAATATTGTGCTGTCACCTGTTTATTAGAATTTAAGAAGGAGGAAGTCTTCATTATTTTTACCGATATTATTGTAAATACTCTTGTAACATTCTTCTTTTTCAAAAGTCACTTTTTGGGTAGATGAAGCTATAATTTTAGGGAATGAACATTCCCAACATTGAGCAAGTAGAACTCAGCCGACACTAACCAAAAGTCTCTTTCAAACCTTTTCCAGTCTGATTTGTAATGTTCGCTACTTAACTATTATATACTGCATGAATACAGTGAGATTTATAATAAAAAAAGACTCTAGTCCTAAACTATTTGTTGTCTGTGCTCAGTTGCTGACAAGGCTGCCTACCTCATGAATCTCAACTCAGCAGATCTGTTGAAAGCTCTGTGCTATCCCAGAGTCAAGGTTGGCAATGAATATGTCACCAAAGGCCAAACTGTCCAACAGGTAATGTTACATTATACCAACTCTCACAAACCCTGGCATCTTCCAAGATGAATGGATTTATAATCGTAATATTTGTAATATCAATATTCAAAATGTAATTAATAATGATAAAATCCATTTTTTTTCTTATCTGTATTCAATATACTAAGGCACCTGAATAATAGAACATCAAGAATCTAAGTTTCTTATATAAATATAACTGATCTGAAATAACCTATTGTACTAAAACCGGGAAGATGGAAATCTATCTGGATAGATTTAAAAATATGTTAAATGATTGAGCTAGTTCTATATTAATATTTTATGAATATATTTTTAGTTTCTACAAAGCTTATTCATTTAATAATTACCCTGTATATTTTTTCAGATTTTATTAGCATCGCTATATCTTTAGTTGTACTTCATCTTTCTTTCTTACACACACACACACACACACACACACATATACGTGTGTTTATATATGTATACGTTTGAGTGTGTGTGTGTGTGTGTGTGTGTGTGTGTGTATACACTTACACACAATCATACATACACTGTATATAAGATTGGAATAATTATTAATTTAAAAATATCCCTATACATAGTGATATTTGCCACTGTCTTCTTATTCTAGGTCTACAATAATGTTGGTGCTCTGGGTAAGGCCGTCTATGAGAAGATGTTCTTGTGGATGGTCATTCGCATCAACCAACAGTTGGATACCAAACAAGCCAGACAATATTTCATTGGTGTGCTGGACATTGCTGGCTTTGAGATCTTTGATGTAAGCAAACAGGGAGAAAGATCTATATATAAATAGACAGGAGGAACAATGTTTGGCTTTACTCAATCAAATTTATTTCATCTTAATTCATCTTAACAAAACTCTCTCTCCTTTTCTTATAGTACAACAGCTTGGAGCAGCTCTGCATCAATTTCACCAATGAGAAATTGCAACAGTTTTTTAACCATCACATGTTTGTCCTGGAGCAAGAAGAGTACAAGAAAGAAGGAATTGAATGGGAGTTTATTGATTTTGGGATGGACCTGGCTGCCTGCATAGAGCTCATTGAAAAGGTCCATTTTATAGTAGACATAACTGACGCATAATTCAGATGGGATAAGAAATGCTTTAGGGTTCTCTCAAAAATAAGTGATGAAAATCCCAACTGAATCTTCATGTACCATCATCTTGTTTTGTCCTGCCCATTACAGTCTTTGACTGCTCCCCTTCCTTTATTATTATTTTAATATAAAGTTTAGCTCTCAACTTTTCTAATGGCTTTATCAGAAGGACAACCTGGGAAATTGTCCAAGAATAAATAGAATTATAGTAGGATCCTAATCAATGTATAGTAACATATTCAAAACAATTCTTGACATAAAAATAAAAGTATATATAGAATATATCATATAATAATTATGAGATCATGTTAGATATTCATAGTTGTTTATTGAAGCATGATTATAATTTAGAAGATGTAGCCTATTTTTCAATGAGAGAATGTCTCCGTCTTTATATTTCATTTCTTTTGACCATCTCTGTTCTGATATTACTTGTGTGTATATACTTGGTGAAGAAGTATGTTATTCCAAAGTTCAATATTCTCTCAAGATGCTACCTAAACAACCATGTCATTGTTCTTTCTAGCCAATGGGCATTTTTTCCATCCTGGAAGAAGAATGTATGTTCCCCAAGGCAACAGATACATCCTTCAAAAACAAACTTTATGACCAGCATCTTGGCAAATCAAACAACTTCCAGAAACCCAAGCCTGCCAAAGGCAAGGCTGAGGCCCACTTTGCCTTGGTACACTATGCTGGCACTGTGGATTATAATATCAGTGGCTGGTTGGAGAAGAACAAGGATCCCTTGAATGACACTGTAGTGGGGCTCTACCAGAAATCCTCAATGAAGACATTAGCTTTGTTGTTTGCTGATCGCCCTGCAGAAGGTGAGAGCTATAATGATTTTTTTTTCTTGAATGAGAAAAAAAATGTTCAAAAAATGTAAGGTTTATTTATTTTTTTCTGTTTCACTTCATTTTTAGAGGGCAAGAAGGCTGCCAAGAAGAAGGGTTCTTCTTTCCAGACTGTCTCTGCACTTTTCAGGGTATGGTATAATGCTTCACTGGGATTCCTTTGTGAGGAAGGAAAAAAAATATTATGTAGTGATAATGAGACGATTCATTTGGGTATTTAAGAAAGGTATTGAATTGGACTGAATTTGTAGAATTCCCAATTTAAAAAGCATCTTTGCATCCTTATGGATAATTCAGATATAAAGAAAGTGTATGGAATATTATTGGTGGGTAGAACAAAAGCAGTGCTGAAAATAAAAATGATAGAAGTATGGTGATGCTTTACATGCTATTTTGCTTTACTTCTTTACATTTCAAACTCAAAGAAGCCTTCAATGCACTTAGGCCATCAATATCCATCTAGACATATGTAGACAAGTCCCACTGTGGACATTTATATGATAAGAAAATAAACTACTATTACGCTGGAACTGTACTTTGGTTCACTGCAAGCAAAAATGACAGCAACCCAAACTTCAAATAATGCTTTAGCTGCATATATTAGGTCCTTGTGGAATTTGACTGTTATTCTTTATCTTATTTTTAATCCACTCAATGACTAGAATTTATTTGTGGAATAAATGGAATTTATCATTCCATTAGAAAGCTATATACCCCCTGCTTTGGATATATGATTTTCTTTTGCAGGAATATATTGATTCCTTTGGGAATTTTGTACAAAATTATTTCTTTTTTGGATCTATAGGAGAACTTAAACAAACTGATGAGCAATCTGAGAAGTACTCACCCACACTTTGTACGTTGCATTATTCCCAATGAAACAAAAACGCCTGGTAAGGCATTGTGGGGGGTTATGACAGATATTTTATAATGCTTGTCTTTGTACGTGGTCTGGTCCTAATTCTTTTTTTAATCATCTTTTTGAAAGGTGCTATGGATCATGACCTTGTGCTACATCAGCTGAGGTGCAATGGTGTGCTGGAAGGCATCCGCATTTGCAGAAAGGGATTTCCCAGTAGGATCATTTATGCTGATTTCAAACAGAGGTCAGCTTGACCTTCTTATAGGGTTCCTTACATCTCCCTCTCCCTTTCCCTCTCCCTCTCCTTCTCCTCCTTCTTCTTCTTCTCCTTCCCTCTCACTCTTTTATCTATTTACTGTATCTCTTTCTCTCCCTTCCTCTCCCCCTCTTCTTCTTCTTCCTCTCCCTCCTTCTTCCTCTTCTATCTTACTGTATCTCTCTCTCCTTCTCTCTTCTTCCTCTCCCTCCCTCTCACTCCCTCTCCCTCTTTACTGTATCTCTCTTTTTCCCTCCCTCCCTCCCTCTCCCTCTTCTTCCTCTTCTTCCCTCTCACTCTTCTATCTATTTACTGTATCTCTCTCTCCATCCCTCCCTCTCCCTCTTCTTCTTCTTCTTCCTCTCCCTCCCTCTTACTCTTCTATTTATTGTATCTCTCTCTCTCTCTGCCAATCTCCCATAGTAACTATGTGATAGAGTACTGCTATCCTTATTTAACATTCAAATAGATTCAAGATATTAAAGGATTAGATTAACTGAGAACAGCAATCATATTGATAGGCAGAATAGAACATTGGGAGGAGGATGTAGGGAAGTTTTGCTCATTTATCCCTTTTCAGATTTTTATTCCTTTGGACAGTTTTTCCTCCATTGAAAATAATGGGAAGAAAATTGTAAATGTTGCCTCTGTTTAGGGGTGAAGGGCTTTAGGTCCTGCTGATTCAAAATATTCCCTCATTTGGCCAATCTGTCCTGTTTATTATTCCATTAGAGAGCAAGAGTGCTGGTAAAGGATATACATGGTATTTTCCTCCAAGGACAAATTTATCTTTTTCTACCTTTGGAGATAAGATCCAGCCTGTCCCATGACACCTTGGAAACCCTCCTATGGCTTGTAACCTTATAGCAGTGTATTAAATATAAATGACTTTAGAATTGAACTCTCTTGCTTTCTCAGTGTAATAGTACAGTTTAAGAGAGCTCCTCTTTCTGGACACCTATACCCTCCCCCAAAAATCTTTTCACCAATTTACTCAGAAGCTGTGGTTAAGAGACTGAAAAAAGTTCCCACCTTAGCAGGCTAGGGTTGCTATAGCTTCAGAAAATGGGGAAAAAAGAGCAAACCTTCAACTGTTGAGACTTTTGGAATCTAATCTCTTTCTCATTACAATAAATCTAGTTAAAGAAATCTTTGTTAAGTCTGTTTCTTTTAGATATAATTGGTTATGAAAAGCTTGACAAGCCATATTTATTTTTTTCTCACATTTTTATACTGCTCAATTCCCAAGTGATCTGGGCAGCTTCGCAAACACACATACACACACACACACACACACACACACACACACACACACTATCCAGCAAAGTAGTCACATAGAAGAGACCACAAAACAATATAATTTACTTCTACTAACTTTTCACTAAAAGTAGACCCACCCAAACCACCTAAGCCCATATTGAGAATGAATATTTTTATAGCATTTCATATTTATGTTCAATTTTTTTTTTACTGAGGACAAATAATTGTAAAAAAAAAATCTACTATGCATTACACAGGAAGATTTACAGGTGGTATTTTTTCTATCAGATACAAAGTTCTAAATGCAAGTGCCATTCCAGAGGGCCAGTTCATTGATAGCAAGAAAGCTTCTGAGAAACTTCTTGGATCCATTGATGTGGACCACACCCAGTATAAATTTGGACACACCAAGGTACATATAAGTCTTTGTTCTAAATACTGTTTTGCATTTTGTAGTGCTTACATGACATTCTGTAATGTTTTCTCTTTTTTTTCAGGTGTTCTTTAAGGCTGGTCTTTTGGGTCTTCTTGAAGAAATGAGAGATGAAAAGTTGGCCCATCTGATAACACGCACACAAGCTATGTGCCGTGGTTTCTTATCAAGGGTAGAATATCAGAAAATGTTACAAAGGAGGTGAGAATCTCATAATTACTTAAATCAATTCTGTCAGAACGCTTTGATTGGTGGATCCATGTTTAATTTAAGTTTAAGTCATTTAAGGCAGGGATCCCCAACCCCCAGTCTGTGGACCAGTACCAGGCCACGGCAACTATGCCACACAAACAAGCAAAGCCCCATCTGTGGGATGCAGGTAGCACACAAAACCATGCCCTCTCTGGTCCACAGAAAAACCTTTCTCCACGGAACCGGTCCCTGGTGCCCCAAAAATTGGGGACCTCTGATTTAAGGCATACTTTTTAACTTTGTTGATAGGGAGGCGATCTTCACTCTTCAGTACAATATCCGCTCATTCATGAATGTCAAACATTGGCCATGGATGAAACTGTACTTCAAGATCAAACCTTTGCTAAAGAGTGCTGAATCAGAAAAAGAAATGGCCACCATGAAGGAAGAGTTTGAGAAAACAAAGGAGGAGCTTGCGAAGTCAGAGGCTAAGCGGAAGGAACTTGAAGAAAAAATGGTGTCTCTGATACAAGAGAAGAATGACTTGCAACTCCAAGTCCAAGCTGTAAGCATATAGAATGATATTAAATATTGTTATTTTATTGGCTATTCCAGTACACCTTAGTAAGCAATCATTTAGAGATTGTAGCGGAAATCTTTGGGATTATTTAGAAATTTACCCATATATTAAATAACATTATTACATTATAACACTATTTCATCAACACCGTTTCAGTTAGAACAATTAATTAGTGGAACAACTTGCCTCCAGAAGCTGTGAATGCTCCAATACTGGAAGTTTTAAAGAAGAGATGGACAGTCATTTGTCTGAAATGGTATAGGGGTTGGACTAGATGACCTCCAAAGTCTCTTACAACATTATTATTATTATGGATCATCGCACAGTCAGCCAAATGTTCAGACTGGATTTGGCATTTTGTCTACCTATGGAGTCCTTACCCAGGACCTGGGATAGGCAGATGTGGATGTTTGATGGTATTATTATTATTATTATTATTATTATATGGATCATCGCACAGTCAGCCAGATTATAGATATTGTCGCAGGATGGAAGCAGTTCCTAGTAAGGCCGCCTTTTGCAATTGACTAATAGCGAATTTGTCAATGCCTATGGTGTTCAAGTGGTGCTCCAGTTGTTTTGGGATTGTACCCAAGGCGCCTATGACTATTGGTACTACCCTTGCTTGCTTTTGCCACAGTCTTTCTATTTCTATTTGTAGGTCTTTGTATTTTGTTATCTTCTCCAGTTCTTTCTCTTCTATTCTGCTATCTCCAGGCACTGCCACGTCCACTATCCACACTTTTTTGTCTTTCTTATCGACAATTGTTAAGTCTGGGGTGTTATGTTGCAGGTGCTTGTCTGTTTGAATTCTGAAGTCCCAGAGCAGTTTAATTTTATCATTTTCTATGACTTTCTCTATTTTATGATCCCACCAGTTTGTGCTTACAGGCAAATGATATTTTTTGCAGATCTTCCAATGCACCATTGTTGCTACTTTGTCATGCCGCTGCTTGTAGTCAGTCTGTGCAATTTTGTTCATATTAGTAAAGTTGGAAGGGACCTTGGAGGTCATCTAGTCCAACCCCCTGCTCGGGCAGGAAACCCTACACCATTTCGGACAAGTGGCTGTCCAGTCTCTTCTTAAAAACTTCCAGTGTTGGAGCATTTACTGCTTCTGGAGGCAGGCTGTTCCACTGATTAATTGTTCTCACTGTCAGGAAGTTTCTCCTTAGTTCTAGATTGCTTCTCTCCTTGATTAGTTTCCACCCGTTGCTTCTTGTCCTGCTTCAGGTGCTTTGGAAAATAGCTTGATTCCCTCTTCTTTATGGCAGCCCCTGAGATATTGGAATACTGCTATCATGTCCCCCCTTGTCCTTCTCTTCGTTAAACTAGACATACCCAATTCTAGCAACCGTTCCTTATATGTTTTAGCCTCCAGTCCCCTAATCATCTTTGTTGCTCTTCTCTGTACTCTTTCTAGAGTCTCAACATCTTTTTTGCATCGTGGTGACCAAAACTGATGCAGTATTCCAAGTGTGGCCTTACCAAGGCATTATAAAGTGGTATTAATACTTCACGTGATCTTGATTCTATCCCTCTGTTAATGCAGCCTAGCACTGTGTTGGCCTTTTTGGCAGCTGCAGCACACTGCTGGCTCATATTTAGGTGATTATCTACTAGGATTCCGAGGTCCCTCTCACAGTTACTACTATTGAGCATGGTGCCACTTATGCTGTACTTGTGCATTTGGTTTTTCTTGCCTAAATGTAGAACCTTGCTTTTTTCACCATTGAATTCCATTTTGTTAGATAGCGCCCAGTGTTCAAGTCTGTCCAGATCCTCCTGTATCTTAAACCTGTCTTCTGGAGTGTTGGCTATTCCTGCCAGCTTGGTGTCGTCTGCAAATTTGATGAGTTCCCCATCTATCCCTTCATCCAAATCGTTGATGAAGATGTTGAAGAGTACTGGGCCCAGCACAGAGCCCTGGGGCACCCCACTACACACTTCCCTCCATATAGATGCAGTTCCATTGAGGACCACTCGCTGAGTACGGCCAGTCAGCCAGCTATGGATCCATCTGGTGGTGGTTCTTGCAACAGCTTACCAGGTGGTCCACTGTTTTTTCAGCTTCTTTGCATAGGCGGCACTTACTGTCTGTTGATGTCTTCTCAATTTTGACTTTATATGCATTTGTCCTTAAGGCTTGGTCTTGTGCAGCCAGAATTAGTCCCTCGGTCTCTTTCTTCAATTTTCCTGCTCTTAACAATTGCCAGGTCTTGTTAATATCTGCTTTCCCAGCTATTTTTTTAATGTATTGGCCATGTAGTGCTTTGTCTTCCCATGCCTCTATTCTGTTCTTCATTTGGTCTTTCTTGTAGGCCAGTAGTCAGTAAGCCTTCCTGATATATGAATTTCAGTGCATCTTCATCATTGTTCTTCAGATATTCTTCCAAAGCCATTTTTTCTTCTTCAACCATCTGATGTACTTGTAGCATTCCACGGCCACCTATTTGCCTTGGTAGATAAAGTCTGTCAATGTCACTGCGTGGATGAAAGGCATGATTCATTGTCATTATTTTTCTGGTCTTCCTATCCATTGCTTTTAGTTCTGCTTGAGTCCAGTCCACTATTCTAGCTGTGTACCTAATGACTGGAATTGCCCAGGTGTTGATTGCCTTTATGGTATTTCCTCCATTGAGTTTGGACTTTAAGATCTTCTTCACTCTCTTGATGTATTCACCTCTAATCTTTTTCTTGACTTAAGTGAGCTTGATGTTTTCAGCTTGAAGGATACCCAAGTATTTATAGTAATCTTCCTCATCCAGACTCTTAATGTTGTTGTAATTATTATTATTATTATTACTATTATTATTATTATTATAAAAAGGTACATAAAGACTGTAATATAGCAAATAAACTATATTTGTTTTTATATTGTATGAACTAATATTATCACTTTTATTAAGAAGTCAGTTGGAGTTAGGTGGCATCAAAAATCAAATAAATAAATAAATAAAGTTTTGCATTACATCGATTTACCCAATGTACAGGAAATATTTATTTTTGAATATTGTTCCCAAAAAATGCTAACAGCTGATCCCATGTGACATGTGACTTTCTCTGTTAGAGTAGGGAATTTGTATATATATGGATATTTTAATTAGGAAACTATTTTTTTTTTTAGAAAAATAACTTATACTTTCCTTCCACAGGAATCTGATGGCTTGGCGGATGCTGAGGAGAGATGTGACCAGCTCATCAAAACCAAAATCCAGCTGGAAGCTAAAATTAAGGAGCTGACTGAGCGGGCTGAAGATGAAGAAGAAATGAATGCTGAGTTGACAGCCAAGAAGAGGAAACTGGAGGACGAATGCTCAGAACTGAAGAAAGACATTGATGATCTTGAGCTGACATTGGCCAAGGTGGAAAAGGAGAAGCATGCTACAGAAAACAAGGTACTAGCCAAAAATATACCAAAATTAAATCGCTACCTACTGTTGCCATTTCAGAATACATAGAATATCTTAACTCTGTCTGTTCAACTTCTAAAGGTGAAAAACCTTACCGAAGAGATGGCGGTCTTGGACGAGACCATTGCCAAACTGACCAAGGAGAAGAAAGCCCTGCAAGAGGCCCATCAACAGACCTTGGATGATCTGCAGGCAGAGGAGGACAAAGTGAACACTCTGACCAAAGCAAAGACCAAGCTGGAGCAGCAGGTGGATGATGTAAGTACCCTATCATCTCCGGAGAAGAACTGGGCTGAGGTGGAGATACTGCTGTGATGGGACAGTCTCTCTGATCTCTTTGTGTTCAGCTTGAAGGGTCTCTGGAGCAAGAAAAGAAACTTCGCATGGACCTTGAAAGAGCTAAGAGGAAGCTAGAAGGGGATTTGAAGCTAGCTCAGGAATCTACAATGGATTTGGAAAATGATAAGCAGCAGCTGGATGAAAAACTGAAGAAGTAAGTAGTAATCCCTATTTTGATGGACCATAGTGTTAAAAGGAATTCTCTTAACATTTAATTTGGAGACTAATCCATTATATTTTGTTGTTATAAGGAAAGACTTTGAAATCAATCAGCTCCAGAGCAGGATTGAAGATGAGCAGGTCCTGGGTGCCCAGCTTCAGAAGAAAATCAAGGAGTTGCAGGTTTGTCATGCAGTGGTTCCTTCATGAATGGAGAATTAAGCTCTCTGGATGCCAGTTTCAGGGTTCATGGTTGCTTCTCTTTTTCTAGGCTCGTATTGAGGAACTGGAAGAGGAGATTGAGGCAGAACGGGCATCTCGTGCCAAAGCAGAGAAACAGCGGGCTGATCTCTCCAGGGAACTTGAAGAGATCAGTGAGCGTCTGGAAGAAGCTGGTGGAGCAACTGTAGCTCAGATTGAGATGAACAAGAAACGTGAGGCAGAATTTCAGAAAATGCGTCGGGACCTTGAAGAGGCCACATTGCAGCATGAAGCCACGGCTGCTGCCCTCCGCAAGAAGCACGCAGACAGTGCAGCTGAACTTGGGGAACAAATTGATAACCTGCAGCGAGTGAAGCAGAAGCTGGAGAAGGAGAAGAGTGAACTGAAGATGGAGATTGATGATCTTGCAAGCAATATGGAATCTGTCTCTAAAGCTAAGGTATGCTGTAGTACATTAAAAAAGGAGAAAATGAAAAAAATCTTTTTCCTTTTGTGTATTATAAGATTTGATCCCCAGTCCTCTTCCTGACATAATGCAAAAGCATTGGAATATGTTTTAATTTGGCAAATCATGCACTGATCTTATATATATTGAAGTTAAAATTATGTTTCTTGCCAATATTTCATGGATGCTTCAGAGTTAGTAAAATAAGAATGTGTGTGCAAACATTAGATCCTGACTCTAGAGTTCAATATTTAGATGTGCCATCTATTCCACTTTATTTTTGGAGGCTATTCTGTTTCCTTAAACACTTTAGTTGTCCTTACTAAATATCATACATTGTAATATCTAGAAGTGAAGATGAATGCTAGATCCTGTGGAATCATTTAAAAGGTTGCCGTTTTTTCTTTATCCATGTTGCTTAGGCCAATCTTGAAAAGATGTGCCGCACACTAGAAGATCAGCTAAGCGAATTTAAAACAAAGGACGAAGAGCATATGCGTACTATTAATGACATAAATGCTCAAAGGGCTCGCCTACAAACAGAAGCAGGTAAAATGACAAATTCTATTTGGGGAAAATGATTTTTTGTTGTCCCTAATGTGAAGAGTCTTACTACATTGGATTGCCCAAATTGATTTTTGAAATGAATCGAGCTGAATCCTGAAGCTTCCCCAGCTGAGAAAATGTTAATGCAACTTTTATTCCAAACATGTCATGTATTCCTTGCTTCAGGTGAGCTCTCACGACAGGTGGAAGAAAAAGACTCTTTGATTTCCCAGCTCTCCAGAAGCAAGCAAGCTTTTACTCAACAAATTGAGGAACTGAAGCGACAACTTGAGGAAGAGATAAAGGTACAGAAGTTGAATTATCATATCTTTTATTGTCTTTCATGCTACCAGAACATCCAGGGGTGCTTCAGAAGCTTTCCTAATACAACACTTGCCTTTGCTTGTGTATTCATTGAACTTTGATATGTTTCTTTCTCTCTGCTCTCATTTCTTGTGAAATCTTACCATGGAAGATGATTCTTAATTATGTCTGTTCACTTGGCAATTTGCAGAATCTCTAATATTTGGTTAACTCTACAGGCCAAGAATGCCCTGGCTCACGGCTTGCAATCTGCTCGACATGACTGTGATCTCCTTCGAGAGCAGTATGAAGAGGAGCAGGAAGCCAAGGCAGAGCTACAACGTGCCCTGTCCAAGGCAAATAGTGAAGTTGCCACATGGAGAACAAAATATGAGACTGATGCCATTCAGCGGACTGAGGAACTGGAGGAGGCTAAGTATGTTCAATAAAAAGATTACACCTTTCCAATCAATTTGCAGTGTGAGTAGAATTAGATGAGTGGCTTTTCAGAGAAAGCTATTTACAATAATAAAAAGAAAAAATGGTTCATTAATCAAACATTGTTCATGGAACCGTATTTTATTGTGTGACTTGGGATGAGTGTCTAAAATAATATTGTGTATTTTGCAGTTCTATTTATCTTAATTTTTCTTGAAGACGAAGCGGAATTACTGAAAGAAGATGATTCACTAGACGGATTATTCAGCCAAATCAAATATTTACTACTATGAAGCATTGGGTTTATGTTTTTTTCAGGAAAAAGCTTGCTCAGCGTCTGCAAGAAGCTGAGGAACATGTAGAAGCTGTGAATTCCAAATGTGCTTCCCTGGAGAAGACCAAGCAGAGGTTGCAGAATGAAGTGGAGGACCTGATGATTGATGTGGAAAGGTCCAATGCAGCTTGTGCAGCTCTAGATAAGAAACAGAAGAACTTTGATAAGGTAATTTGAACTGCTATTATCATTACTGTTGTTTTAAAAGTGGACTGCATTGCACACAAGCTTTACATTTAGTTAACTTATTTCTTGCTGTTTTTGTTTTTGTTTTTTAGATTCTGGCAGACTGGAAACAAAAATACGAGGAGACACAGTCTGAACTGGAAGCTTCCCAGAAGGAATCTAGGTCTCTGAGCACAGAGCTCTTCAAGATGAAGAATGCGTATGAAGAATCCTTGGATCAACTGGAAACCCTGAAGCGTGAAAACAAAAACTTGCAACGTAAGTCCATGCTCATATATGTGCTCACTCAAGCCTAATCATGATTTTATAGTAGGAAGTTTCTACTTCACTTCCATTTAGTCCAGTGTTTCTCAACCTTGACAATTTTAAGGCATGTGGACTTCAACTCCCAGAATTCCACAGCCAGCAATGCTGGCTGTGGAATTCTGGTAGTTGAAGTCCACATGCCTTAAAATTGTCAAGGTTGAGAAACACTGATTTAGTCCTATATACTTTGATGAAAGATGGGGAAGTTATATTCCTCCAGGTATTACTGAACCGCAACTTCCTGCACCACCAGCCAAGATAAGCAATGGTGAGGGATGCTGTTCAATATCATATGGATAGTAATAGCTTCCTCAGGGTTGTCTTAGGCTCTCTGATATCTTCAATCCATCAAATGTAAGGCATTAAAATGAACAGTAGAACTTGTATTAGTGTTAAAAGCTGGATAACATTTTGTACTCTGTTCTTTACTGAAACAGCAAGTTTTATCTTTGATGTCCCACTTTCTCATTTTGTATTTTGAATCAAATTAATAGAGGAGATTTCTGATCTCACGGAGCAAGTGGCTGAGGGCGGAAAAGTTATTCATGAACTGGAGAAAGTGAAGAAGCAGATTGAGCAAGAGAAAGGAGATATCCAGAGTGCTCTAGAAGAAGCTGAGGTAATTATGTAATTATTTTACAGGATAAATAAAAAAACAAACATAAATGTACCCAAGGCAGTGAACTAAATGTTTCCATTAGTAGGATATTCCTATTTAATAGCCTTTCAGATGATAGTGCCATAATGTTTGCTTTATTGTCTTTTTACTTTTAAGGCCTCACTGGAACACGAAGAGGGCAAACTCCTACGCATCCAACTTGAGCTCAACCAAGTGAAATCTGACATCGACAGAAGAATTGCAGAGAAGGATGAAGAAATTGATCAGCTGAAGAGGAATCACCTGAGAGTGGTAGAGTCCATGCAGAGCACGCTGGATGCTGAGATTAGGAGCAGGAATGATGCCCTGCGGCTTAAGAAGAAGATGGAGGGAGATCTGAATGAAATGGAGATCCAGCTCAACCATGCCAACCGTCAAGCTGCTGAAACACTAAAGAACCTCCGGAACACACAAGGAGTGCTCAAGGTACATATTTACTTCTGTACTCAAGAAACAGCTGATATTTTTATTGTATCACAGCTATTTTCAAAGACAAATATTGCAATATCCTGTTTTAGGATACACAAATACATTTGGATGATGCTTTGAGAAGCCAGGAAGATTTGAAGGAACAAGTGGCCATGATTGAGCGCAGAGCAAACCTGATGCAGGCTGAGATTGAGGAGCTCCGGGCAGCTCTGGAACAGACAGAGAGGGCCAGAAAAGTGGCTGAACAGGAGCTTCTGGATGCCAGTGAACGTGTGCAGCTCCTCCACACACAAGTAGATAAGTTTTTAGCTTGAGAATATTTTTTTCTAATGCAATAGCCTTGCTCCTGATGGGTAGACTTTTATTGTTCATTTTAGTTCCAGACCCCCTAGTTTCCTGAGCAAAAGTGGAAATATTTTTGTGTTTTCTAACTGTTTTGGGACAATTATGATAAATCTTAAATGGCTAGGTAGTATTTGTTTAGGAACTTATCCTAAATGAGAAGTTTTAATGCAAAAGGAGAAAAGACAATATATAATCAGAAAACAAATCCTAATGTTTATTTACTCCCTGGAAACTATATAGACTTCCTGTGAAATTAGAGCTAAACTCTACTCTTCTTTATAGTTGCCTCTATTCTGCAACAATTATTCTCAAACCAACAATTCTAGTGATCATTTATCTTTCTTCTCTTCCTGAAGTGGACAGAGAATTTCAGTTCTTTGGTGGCAACCATTTAGTCTCTCTGTCTGCATGTATGCATGCTTGTCGCTTCTGTCTTTTCTGAAATATGACTGACCACATTATTTTTAAACAGAACACCAGCCTGATCAACACCAAGAAGAAGCTGGAAACAGATATTTCCCAGATTCAGAGTGAAATGGAGGAGACTATTCAGGAGGCACGTAATGCTGAAGAAAAGGCCAAGAAAGCCATCACTGATGTGAGTACAGTGAGTTTTCACTGAAAAAGTTAACCAGTTTACACTAAGCATTCTTTATTATGAACTGCTTGGTTCATTTATTACTAGGCAGCCATGATGGCGGAAGAACTGAAGAAGGAACAAGACACCAGTGCCCATCTTGAAAGGATGAAGAAGAACCTGGACCAGAGTGTGAAGGATCTGCAACACCGTCTTGATGAGGCAGAGCAACTAGCCCTGAAAGGAGGGAAAAAACAGATCCAGAAATTGGAAGCTAGGGTTTGTATGATTCATATAAGAGCAACTGCCATGCATACATTGGTGAACCTTTGATTTAATTTCTTTGTGTGTAGTATTAGCTGAAAATTCAGAGAAAGATCAAAGAGCAACAATATGCTCTTCTATCACATAGTCTCCCTAGCATAAAGCTGCCCTACATATCTCAAGGTTTGCTCCACATCATTTAATCATGTTTAATTTTGTTCACATTTTAATCTCTTCACCCACTCCTTTTTTGGAAATTACTGTGAGAACTTCTGTGATCACTTCCATTTGTTCTTTCAATATCCTAGAAAGTCATTTATCTGCCCTAGAGATCTGAATTCAATCAAAATCAGCATGGTTTTCTTTTATGCCCTCCTTTAATTTCCCTCTTACCTTCTCCTTGTCTGGTTTAAGGACTTCTGGTTTATTGTTCCCTTTTTTACCAGTGGCATAATGGTGACTATCCATCTCCCTTTCTCTTACAACAAATCACGCTTTGGGTTTCCTTTTGGTTTCTAATAACTTTTTAATGTTTTTTTAATATTTCTTGCTGGCCAGCCTTTGCTCTTGCTGAGCTTCACTCTTTCTGCCACAGTTTCTTTAGACTACTTATGCCAGGGGTGTCAAACTCACAAAGTCACATGACGTGTCGTGACGTATCGCAAATTATTTTCCTTTGCCGGCAATGGGGTTGGTGCGGTTTCAGCATGACGGATCCGGCCTCTGGGTCAGCAGTTTGACACCTCTGACTTATGTTCTTTGGGGATTTGGCATTCTTCCATTTCCTGAACATATTCCTTTTCTTTTCACTATGTGAAGTTCTGGTTGTTTTCAGAGCTGGGTTTCTTCACTGTAGACCAGGGGTCTTCAAACTTGGCCCTTTTATGACTCATGGACTGCAACTCCCAGAATTCCTCAGCCAGTGTGCCTGGCTGAGAAATTCTGGGAGTTGAAGTCCATGAGTCATAAAAGAGCCAAGTTTGAAGACCCCTGCTGTAGCCATTTCATTTCCCAACTAGATAATATCATCAGTATGAGTAAATGTGTGGTTTCTGTATTTTTACCATGTTATAATTCTTTGTATGTATCCATGCTGGATTCATGGTATTTTATTCCTTTCTTCTGTGGATTATTATGCTTGTGCCTTCTGGACACTTTTATGGACATAGCATTCATGTAATCCTTATAGCCAAGTTTCCACATGCATTTTCACAATTTAGTGGGCAACTCTACTGCTAGGATTATATGTTTTAATTTTCTTTTTAATGTCAGGTTCGTGAGCTGGAGTCTGAGTTTGAGAATGAGCAGAAGCGCAGTGCAGATGCTATCAAAGGTGTACGGAAATATGAGAGAAGAGTAAAGGAACTAACGTATCAGGTGAGAATAGAATCTGTTGTGTATTTCAAACTCTTTTAGAACAATGAATAAAGAAGTAAATAATTTGCACATTTACTCTCTCTATTCTTTATATCCTTTAAAAAAAAATAGTCTGAAGAAGACCGGAAGAATGTTCTGAGGCTCCAGGATCTGGTAGATAAACTACAGCTTAAAGTGAAAGCATACAAGAGACAAGCTGAAGAGGCGGTAAGTACACAGGAGGATCTAGTCCAGGGGTAGGCAACCTTGGCTCTTTTATGACTCGTGGACTTCAACTCCCAGAATTCCTGAGCCAGCCATGCTCAGAATGTCCAAAACATTCTCCCTGCACAATTAAAACATGCTATGCATGGCACATAATACAATGAGGGTTAGTCTTGAAAAAGTCACATTTTCTATTGCTTGTGAATATAAAATTTTATTTATATGAAATCTTGTAAAGTGTCATCCTATTGTTATGCACTTCAGATGAATGAAGACCTTTGTGGAATTCATGTTAATCTTTTTAACCTCATGAGATGCCTCATATGCTTCTAGTTTGGGATTTCAGATTAATTTTATGCCCTTAAAAAGATTCTCAGAAGTAATTATGTTACTGGGGATTAAATTTGAATAATTATATGCTTTTCTAGGAGGAACAATCCAACGTGAACCTTTCCAAATTCCGCAAGATTCAGCATGAGCTGGAAGAAGCTGATGAACGGGCTGACATTGCTGAGTCCCAGGTGAACAAACTCAGGGTGAAGAGCCGAGAAGTGCATAAGAAGGTGATTGTAAGCGAAGAATAAACTCACCTAAAAGAGGCAAAGTGACCCGAGAGAAGTGCAAAATGTGAAGCTCTTTGTCACTCCCTGTAATTATTGTTTATCTTTCTTTAATATCCAGAAAATAAAGATGGTAGAAAACTTTGCATACTAAAAGCAGTTGTGGCTTTTCTTTCATTCTACTTAATGCTATATAAACTGGAGGTGCTTTATACACGTCTATTTTCTATCTGGTATTAAGTATATTTTTAAATGAGCTTTATTAATATCTAACTCTTTTCTATATAGAAATATATTATCTATATAACGTCCAAAATATAATTTCCATAATGATTATAATAATTTCCATAAAATTGGATTTCCCTTGGTAAAGGAATTAGCTTGATAGTAGAATTAAATGGGTTACAGAATATAGACACTTTAGCTGAGCCCAGAAAAGCTACAAAGGATTGGAGCTTGTTTAGAGGCAGAGTACCAGGATAGGTAGACTAGAAAGTAAAAAAAGGAAAACTGTAGAAGAAACAGTGGCTTATTAATAACAAGTTATTAAGAAAACTACATGGAAGCATTGATGTAGTTATCAAAAACTGAACTTGAGTTAGAGAAGCTTTGATCTTTCAATTTTGCAATCTAGGGCTCACAGATTTTAATGGAAAGGCAATTTATATTTTTTAAATGAAATGGGTAAAATATTGCTAGTTTAAATAGGCATAAACAAAACATATTTTTATTTTTATACTAAATCCAATGAGGACACATTAAGAAGTAAGGATGCTTCCATATAAGACTTTCATTACTCAGCCATATTTTTTAGAATTGTATGAAGCATCCAGGTAATCCAATTTTTCATTTTTCCTTTGTTTTTGCACTATAGAAAATGTAGTATGTTTCTTCTTCATAGTTATACAATGTACAGCCAACATATATCCCTAACCAAATACTGTTTATCCTGGTACATAGTCATACATCTAACTAGAATAGAATAGAGCTGGAAGGGACCTTGGAGGTCTTCTAGTCTAGCCCGCTGCTCAAGCAGGAGAACCTATACCATCTCAGACAGGTGATTGTCTAGTTTTAAAGGAATTATCTATATGATAAAAGTACTATTAAATATACATACAATGGAAATAATACACACACTGATTATGAAATAAAATGAAAATAGCATGGGGAAATAAGAATAAATTTCATATTTGTTAGGGGAATATTATAAATAAACAAACTATGCTTTGTTATACAAACAGTATTGGTCTTTTTCTAAATTGATGATTAGATCTTGGAAAACTGAAATTTGAATAGTGATTTAATAAACAACCAAACAGAACGTAGATTGTGATGGCCTGCTGTTACAGAAGTATATATGGTTCTAATAAGAAAATAAATTTTAGCAGTTGGGAAAACAATTTATATATTGGATTGTACCACTAAAATATCCAATGCACACAAAAGAGGGCAGAAAAATACATAATTGTGAACTCACATATGGAATCAGCCTGGAGAAATGATATTTTTGGTGTCAGTCTTACATCAAATGTAATTCTGTAAGTCAGAGATCTCCAAACTTAGCAATTTGAAGACTTGTGAACTCAAAATGGCTGGCTGAGGAATTCTGGGAGTTGAAGTCCTAAAGTTGCCAAGTTTGGAGATCCCTGATGTAAGTGATATTGCTTTAGCCTGGATTATTTTTTGCATTGTTTATCCAGTTCTTAAATCTAAAAAAAGTCCCTAAATTTGAATCAAAATTAGCTAAGCACAAATTAAAATTACATTAAATATTAACTGCATGTAGACTTAAAAAGTATGCTGTTAATAACTTACGTTCCATCTCTCTCTCTCTCTCTCTCTCTCTCTGATTTGTTACAAGGTATAAGTAGATTTTTCCAGTTTTGAAAAAAATCTATGAGTTTTTAGTCTCCCAGGAATGAGTAATAACTGATTAAGCAGAAAATGGAAAAGTTCTCTAAAGTCTAAACAATAATTTCCTCTCCTTGTGAAGCAGGGCTAAATAATGTATAATTTTATATTTGGTTGTGTTAAGGATCAAGGAAGAGGAAGATGAAATTCTCACATTGCATACCTATTCTATGGCCAAAACATCTCTTAGAGCAGGGGTTCCCAACCAGGGGTGCTTACATCCCCTGGGGGTGCAAGACAATATTCCAGGGGGTACGAAAAGTAGGGTTTTCAAAATTATAGTGTATATGCATAATTTGTTGCTGTTATTTTGAAGTTTTGTAAGGAGTGCTAGAATATATCAGAAACGTTCTAGGGGTGCAGGGTATAGAAAAGATTGGGAACCATTGTCTTAGAGAAACAATAGAGGCAGCACTTAACACACTACACTTCCAGGCCCCAAATCAAAAACAACACATGGAGATTTTTCCAAGTAGAGTTCTTTTATTATTTCAGAGCAATAGACAAAATCTTGCCAAACTGAGCACTCTACTATCTACATCTATCATATATTCTACCATATACTCCAGGAATCATCCTCTTTCTCTAACATTTGGACTGAATTGCCTTTTACTCCTCTGGAATGTGCCCCCTCCCTCCTGGGAATCTGCCTCCTTACTACATTCTATTGCCTAAACAAATGAAAAGGAAGGAGTAGTGCAAGTAGCTCCCATTCCTACAGTAACATCACAACACTGAGGGAGAGCGAACAAGCAATGCCTAGGTAAAGGCGGGAGAACTTGCAAAAGGAATGGCATAGATCCTGGAAGGAGAAGAGGAAATAAATTAGCCTGATGCAGAGCTTCCCCAAAATTGCTCCCGAGGAAGGACACGTTAAAGGGAAGTTTGAGTTTGCCACTCAGGACTTGGCAAACCACATTGACTCCTAGGAGAGCCTCAAGCTCCTTATACTCTTTTATTTTTCCATCATCATCATATCTCTTTCTCAATAACCTTTGGCTTGCTATTGCAAGGCACAAGAATCTCTTCCCGACCTCTTCTCCTGCACGCTCTTACAGAACACATGCTCTTTATATCTCAAATTCTAAGCATGGTCCAAAGGGTGTACGAATACTGTCTTGGTAATCATAGAAGGTATGCCAAGAGCCCAAAGTCTCCTATTCCTTACTCGTCATCATGACTATTTATCAAACGTTGTCTGAAAATAGTAGACAGGTTTTCCTATTCCAACAAAAATGATTTACTCTACAGTAAGTTTTGGACATATCACAATCAGACTGGAATAAAATATTTGACAATTATAGTATTTATGTTCTTCTGGCAGTAGCACAGAAGCCAGTTGTCCTTTCCCTCCTGCAAAGGTATCAATGAAAATGGTTTCAGAAAAAAAAAAGTCACTTAAATATTATTGAAGCTGTTTAAATGTTACAAAAGTCATTTAAATCACTTTTTAAAACTGATTTTCAGTAGGAGGGGCGGCGATCAGTAGCAGTTTTATGTTAAGATGCTTTTGTTGAAAATGCTACAAGTTAATAACTTCCATCAAATATATTTAGAAATGATACAGGCACTTGCAGGAATGCAGTGGCTCAACTCTAAATATATCCAGGGATAATATGAGTAAGAATTATGTTTGCAGTCAACTTTGCCAAAACAATACTTGGCCAGAAATATTTGACCTGCGGCAGAGGAGGTGCTAGGACCAAGCGGATATTATAAAAGAGTTTCTGGGACCTGCCTTATCTTTGATCTGCCTGAGCTTTGCCTACAGCTTCAAGGTAAGTCATGTGAAGAATGAACTTAGAGTTGGAGGGAAGGATCCTAGGTAGGCCTGGGATTCTACACATCCCCGGACCATCTTGCCACCTCTGGAACTAACTTCTCTGGGCAGATTCAAACCTGTTCTTGAATGTGTCTATACATTTTCCATTCTTTATATCAACATATTCTTGGAACTTTGGAAATCTTGGATTACAAAGAGAATCATCATCACTATCATCATTTTTTAAAATTGTTTGGGTAGTTCTGGCCAGCCTCAAGGCTGCATGTAACTTCTTGCAGAAGGTGAGGTAAGGCATAACAGTATTAGTTCCCATAATACTGTAGAGATAGCATTATAATTCTCATCATATGGATAATTTAATGATTCCCATAATATAGATAAAACTGGAATTGAAAATGTAATCAATGTGTACCATCTAACACATGATAAATATGAACAATTTAAAAATAGATATTTTATTTATTTTTATTTATTTATTAAAATTGTTTGCCACCCGTTTCGCCACAAGAGTCTAGGAAGAATTAAAAGAATGTAAGCAAAACATTTTAAAAGTAAAAAAATTAAGCATTAAATATAAATGAATCCTGAAATCCATTCAGAAATTCATAATTTAAAAAATTGAAATGTAAAAACTACAAGACGATGGAACACTGGATTTTATTTCAGAACGTATCAGCAAGGCACAAATCTTGGGCTGGATCTCTGTGATCCCCTAATGAAGATGTTTCATTTTGCTGGCTGTGAAGATCATGGTTTCTTAGTTACAATCTTTTGGGAGATGCTTTACTTTCAGATACAGCAGGATGCATCACAAAGCAGGCTTCTGTACTGTCACTTTCAAATTTCTGATAAGAGACTGGAATATTTCTAATGCCAAGGATAAAATGGACAGTATTTAATTTCATAGACACAAAATGCTCATGAACTTTTCTTTTTCAAAACAGTAGAATAAAAATATAATGGCATATTTCCAAGACACCTGAAGGCAGGACAAGAAGCAACGGGTGGAAACTAACCAAAGAGAGAAGCAACCTAGAACTAAGGAGAAACTTCCTGACAGTTAGAGCAATTAACCAGTGGAACAACCTGCCTCCAGAAGCAGTGAATGTTCCAACACTGGAAGTTTTTAAGAAGAGACTGGACAGCCATTTGTCTGAAATGGTATAGGGTTTTCTGCCTGAGCAGGGAGGTGGACTAGATGACCTCCAAAGTCCCTTCCAACTTTATTATTATTATTATCATTATTATAATCATTATTATTATTATTATTATTATTATTATTATTATTATTATTATTATTATATGTGCCTACTTCAAAAGAAAGACA